CAGTGAGCGGGATGAATGATCACCACACAGCTGCATATGCATGCAGTGAGCGGGATGAGTGTGTCACCACACAGCCGCATATGCATGCAGTGAGCAGGAAAAAGGCGCCAGGGGAGTGAGGAGTAGCTCAATGGTGGATCACGGATGCTTAGCATGTGTGAGGCCCTGGTTCGACCCCTAGCGCTGGACATTTAAAAAGATATCTGAAGCTGGGCATTGTGGCAGAAGCAGGTGGATCTCTGTGAGATGGAGGCCAACCTGTCTACACAGCAAGTTCCACGACAGCCAGCCACACAGAAGGGGGGGGGGAGTGGGGAGGGAAAGAGACTCTATCTCAAAACAATAAGCAAAAACAAACAACGTGATCTGATGCATATTTGCATAGTCTTCCATTACATCGCAGAAAAAACTCCTTGGGAAGTGCTACTATCGTAGGTAACTGTCATGTTCAGCATGTTACCAACATCATGGTATTTCTCAGACAACAGATTCTCTTAGCTATTACAAACACATTTTCTACATCACAGGAAGAGGCATAAACCCACAACTGAAGGTAACTGTAAAATAATCTTAAGGAGAAACTATGAAGAACTAACTGTCCAGGGGACTCCAAGGGAAAAGGTTCTGCCCCACTTATCCCATTAGAAATGAACTGTAAACTTTTCCCCTTGCCTTCTACAACACTGCCAGGCACGACTCAGCTGCTGCATGCATGCCAGGACACGGGAGTATATGGCATATGAATGCAGCCCCACACACTTGTGGCTGATGCCCTGTCTCAGAGTCTGAAGTTTGGACACTTGCCAGCAGACTTGCCTCAGTTCACCTAATCTACCATATCATCAGATTCCTCTGATGACGTTCTCACTAATAACATCAAATAAAAATGTTACAATTAATATCTTAATTGGCTATCTGCATTCAAAGAACATTTTATTTATCTGAAACTGTTTCATACTTAAACACGCCAGTGAGATAAACACTACATCTTCATGTGTTATAAATATGGGGAAGAAAACTGGCCCAAAGAACTCTCCTTGCTCAATGTAACAAAACTGTCAGGAAAAAACAATTACAACTGGAACTCAAACTATAAGCCTTGTCCACAGATCACATGACCTCAGTAAATCTAATTAATTATGCCATGTCTCAGCTTTCTCAAAAGCTAGAGAAAAGGCTTTTGAGATCTTTGCCCGGCATCTGCATCAGAACTGAGTTCTATTGTAGTCCCAGAAACAAGGGTTCAAGTGTTGTTTTCTGTGACTTTTCTAGTTACACACATACCATGTAATACCCATTCATAGCTAAAGATTTCCCACTAAATGTTTTCTACTGAACTGACTCCATCTTTAAATCCTGCACCAGGGTTTACAGATGCATAAGAAGTCTGAAGCCTTCCTGATCTAACGCTGATTTTTCTAATTGATGCGCTTTAGAGTTAGAGCCATTATGCCAGTGAACACTGTTTGTGCCCTAAACCTTTTCCAGACCACATATTAGCAAACAATGAGGAGGATTCAGTCCAAATGAGATCTCCAGTTCTAACACACAAATGCACTAAATCACTTCAAAGAAATAATGTGAAGAGTAATGGATTTTATGGTCCCAATCCCATTCCTTCAGCTTTTAAATCTCATTAAAAAGTCATCAAAGCTCTTCAAAGCATATGAATTCATCCGACAACCTCATCCCAATGTCTACAAGACTGGAACAACAACACTCAAGTTAGGCATCTAGATTTCCCAGTGGTCCTTCTTTTACTTTGAAATCATTTCCAAAATAACTAGTGAAAATAAACAAGCAATGATCAGATGGTATTCAGCCATTATGTGCTGAGAACTTGATTCTGCTTCACAGATCTGGGCTTCTGATCTCAGACACATAACTAAGGCAAGGGTTTCCTCATAGAACTCTCCTACCATAGCACGCCGGGTCATCAGGTCCAAACCAGTGGGGCCACCAAACAGGACCATGACCCCACATTTTGTTATGATCATCCTAAGTATTTTGTCATAGTAGCAGAAAGTTAATGAACACATCAATTGAGGTAAAATTAATTACCACCCAGGAAGATCAGACAGACGTTCAGAAAGAAATGGTCAAACGAAGTTAGATTTCAATTTTCTGACATTATAGGATCTTGCAGTTTTAACACATTAAGATAGGACACATATTTATACGACAAACTGAACATGCCGAAATGCAAAATGCAGCAAAATCATTCAGATGTTTGTGTAGGGCACATTCACAGTGACAGAACTGTGAGGTGGCCTGAGCAGGCAGCAGGGCAAGAACCCGGGAGCATTTGGGAGGAAGGGTTCTGGCTAACTGTTTTCTACTCTGTATCAGGATGGCCCACATCCCACAAAGGTTTATTCATTGGGATTTTATGGGTCTTTCTGTCACAGTGTTGGCCAGCCCCAAACATCCTCATACTGGTGAGGTAGTTGGTGCTAACACTTGAACCTACACAGTTCTCTGCTCAAACAAACTACTTATCAGGGAAGTCTCAGGCTAGTCCAGGAGAAGGGAAAGGCAACAGTTCTTTTCTATGCCCCAACAGTCTCCTGGTCATAAATGACTTACATGTTTTCTACATGTAAAGCACACTAACCCTCCTGCAAAAGTTTTACCCCACCATGAAATCGAGTTCAGATGAGACCAGGATGCTATGGAACATCACATCTGGGTGAGCGGATGGAGGGGTACTGCCTTAACTTACTTGCAAGTTTCTATTGAGAGTCTTACACATGTACCCTTACTTTTATTTTTTACTGTGAAATCAAGTGCTTCTGACAGTGTTGCCCTGAATCTAGTGTTTACACCTAAGGTCACTTCTTTTTTAAGCCCTTTTGTGAGGTGCAGAATCAAGGAATAAAAAACAAACAAACAAAAACCACTTTATTTAGGATCCTAGACAATTTTAGACAGGAAATATTTCCTCTAAATCCTGCTTAAAACCTGCACATTCCTTAATCCTCTTCTCTCGTAACACTTGGATCACTGTGTCTAGAAAAGGAGTCTCCAGTGTTCCTCTGAGTGTTCCATGATGGTTTGTTGAACTTCTGTCCATACAAAACAAGGACACAGTTCTACTAAGTAACAGCTTCCTTTCTGGCCCTCCACCGCCATGAAGACGATTTCCATGAGCTTCTCTGCCAGCTGCGCCCTGTGCCGGCGCCACACATTTCATTATGGTAGCACCGCACTTCAAGATACCACTTTCTTTTTCTTTGGTTTTTTTGAGATAGGGTTTCTCTGTGTAGCTTTGGAGCCTTTCCTAGAACTAACTCTGTAGCCCAAGCTGGCCTTGAACTCACAGAGATGCGCCTGGTTCTGCCTACTGAGTGCTGGGATTAAAGGTGTGCACCACCACTGTGCCCAGCTTCAAGATACTACTTTCTGCTATTGTTACTTGGTCTGTCAAAAAACACACCAAATCTCAGTATCTAAAATAAACATGTCATTATTTCCCGTGATTTTGTCAAATAATGACTAATTCTATTCCACATGGTGTCTGCTGGGATGCTAGGATGCCTGGAAAGTCCAGCATGCCCCAGCCACAGGGCTGCATTTGGGCCACTGTTGTGACCCAGAGCCCAGCCTGGGCTTTTGGCTGAGGCTCTCCCAATGTCCAAGAGGTTCTGTAGACTGACCATCAATGGAGTTGATTTTAGGAAGAAATCTCGCTTCACAGATTCAGAAGGTCTATGTCACTTGAGGCTCTACCTCAGAGATCATGTTAGCACAAAAACCAGGGTCTTAATCCACTGTGGAATGCTGTGACCACTCAGGGAGGGAACAGGGCCTCAGAAACGAATTCTTTGAGAGGAATCATTCTACTCTGGTGAGTGCAGACCAGAATTGCTGCAGAGGTGTGGAGGGATGTTCGGATCAGGAAAGGCAGGGAAGAAAATATTCTGTGGGCACAGGGGTCAGAGTTTCTGTCAACAGAAAAAGCATACGGAGACAGGTACTGGTCATCAGGTAACTCCCTGATGAGTTTGTGAAGCAATCATAAATAAGAATAAACAATCTAGATAAAAATTACTTTATTCACTGGAAGCTCCAGGAGAAAAGTACTGAACAAATAAAATTAAATTGAATATGAAAGACATAAGCTAAAATTACTGAATGAATACAATCCTGAAATCCCAAAGAACCTGACTTGGTTTGTTTTTTGTTTCTTTGGCAACAAGGTCTCACTATGTGTCTTTGGCTGGCCTTGATCTCAGAGATCCACCTGCCTCTGCCTCCGGAGAGTTGAGATTAAAGTGTTCCATTGCGTCTAGCTCTAAGTTGTTTTGAAGGTTAAGGAATGCTGCTTTACTCTGTTTCTACAAGCTACAGAATATATCATATATTAACGTTAGATGATGGTCTGTCTTGGAAATATCATACATTGGTAATGCTTTTAGTAGGCAACTATATTATCTACTTTGAGTCTAAAGCAAACATTGGTTTTTGCCTTTGGAGTTTTTATTGAGGCAGGGGCTTGTTACGTAGCCCGGGTTAACCTGGGTCTCATGATCCTCCTGCCTCAGTTTCCTGCATGCTGTGATGATAGTCAAGAGTGATTACATGGACTCTAAAACACATTTTCCGTTAAGAAGCTGGAGTTATACTATTGGAAGTGTAATTTACTGGTGGGTGGATAGTTCTCACAGAGATGGTATAAGAAGGCAATCTGAATCCTTCATTATTGCTCATTATTTTTAAAAATATTTTACTGGCCGACTCCCCAAACCCTAGAGTAAGGAAAGCCATAATAAAGTGGGGCCACACCCAGGCTCTCCACAGTCTCTTATGAGTCACATATTCTCCTTTCAGGTTACCATGCAGAGAACAGAGGCCATCAGTCAGGAACTTCTCATCCGTCTACACCCTTCACAGAGCAGTCACGTGGCCTACAGAAACCAGAGTCCACTCTTTACTGGATAAATAAGAAACAGTTCGGTGCAGTTAGGTCTCCACAGACACAGGTAACAGAACCTGGGTTCTGGCCAAGCCTGAGTTGGAAAACACTGATAATCGTCTTCCTTAGAAACACACAGCTGCAAATATACTCAAGAAAGCATTTGTTATAATCCCTTTTGAAGTGTAAAAAAATGAGAGATTTTAGATGCGGAATAGACAAACTAATACACTCGAAAAATACTTAAAAGCCTGATGTCGCCACTCCTTCAAATCCTTTCTCTGGGTTTACATGTGTTTATTCAATTTCAGAGAGCAGGCATGCCAGAATGAGGCAGAGCAAGAGCAGCCTTACCTCTGCTCTCCTGGGACTGCAACCCTGCTGTAGAGAGGACACGGAGAGTGGACAGCAGGATTAGCATCTTCTCCAGACTTCGTAGTGACCGAATGAGTGGGACAATGAGGTAAACCTGGAAGATTCTATGAGTGGCTCGCATGTAAACAACACGCACAAAGGGAATGCGTGGAACATTCCTGAACCAGTCAAAGAAAGCTCAGAGGTTAGCAGCTCATGCTCCAAATATTGACAATGCCTGCTATGTACCAACGGATCCAAGTCTTAGGGAAATACAGGCATACAAGACAGATGATGAGCTGTGGAAGGATCTCAGTGGAAGGATTTTTGCCCTGGGTGCAACCCTCAGCTGATGGCGTTCGTCTCTGCTCTTAGGTATTTTACTGAGCAGGGAGAGGAGGACTAATAACCAAGCATACAGACATGGCGAGATCAAAGCACTGAGAAGACTGTGAACCTCAAGGAGGATGGCTTGCTTGGAGGACGAGCGTTAGAAGAGAGATGAAAGGAAGTCAGCGCTCGTCACTCAGCCCCATGGAGGAAGACCATCCCAGGCAGAGAGAGCCGTTAAGTTTGGGAGGTACGGGGTCAGACAGGGGTGCACTTCGGCTAAAGCCAGGAGCGTGGGACGGGAGGAGAGTGACAGCAAGTCTGCAGCCAAGGCAAGAAGTCTGGACATGAAACAACCGAGAAGTGATGGAGAGGCCCCCAAATGGCCAGGAGCAGCAGAGCATCGAAACCTGTTCCAAGCTTTTAACGACCCGGGAAGCTCAGCAGATCGGCGTGGAAATACAGGCCCACCACATGGATTTTTACCTTTGTGTAAAAAAAATTTCCAGAATGGAATGATGACAATCTCACTGCCTTACCACCAAGTCTCTTGAACCCTGCCTGGGTTCAGAGATGGGTGACAAAGTGTTGTATTCGTGACTCTGGAGTCCTGCCGCTGAAGTCAGTGAGTGACTTCACCTCCCATCATTAATGTCAAAAGCTTTGTCACAGAGCTAACTTAAGGCAGATCTTCCAGAATTATGAAAGAGGCGCAATGTCCACCTGACCAAACACGTACAGGTCTTGCACTTCTGACTTGCTCACTCAAGACAGGCGTACTTATAGAAATGTGGCAAATGGGCTGACTGAATTTAAACTTGGGAGCCGAGCACGGAGCTCACTTGGTACAGTGTCTACCCAGAATGCACAGGGCTAGGTTCAGTCTCCAGCAGGGCACAGAGGCATGGTGGTGCACGGCTGAAATCCCAGCACTGGGAGGGTGGAGCCAGGAGAGTCAGGAGTTCAAGGCCTTCCTTGACTACACAGTGAGTTTGGGATCAGCCTGCCTTACAAGAGGCTGTCTCAATCAGTTAACCCATAAAACAACAAAAAGGATAACATGCCCAAATAAAACACGTATGCATGGAGTCTAAATCTCTCACAGATTATTATATTCCTTCAATCTTTAGTGGTTAAAAAAAAGTTACCAATTGAACATACACATTTCTGCTTACAAAACCCACAAAGGGTAGGCAGATGACATTTTAATTAAAATAACACAGATTTAAATTTCTGCTTAACCAGTTTAAAAATATCAAAGTGACTTTACTGAAAACATCTGTAAGTACGGCAAACTTTTCCTGTATTCTTTTTTGCCCCAAGCTACCGACTAAATTATAATAATCTTTGCCATGTGTTTACAACTGGAAATGTTCATCTTACCCTATGAATGCTGGTCAACCGGAAACTCTGCAATTAGTTTTGATCTGAGGAATTCCTGAAGAGAAATCATAAGCATATTGTTATATTTTATGCATCCTAGGACTACAAGACCATTTTCCACATACATGGTTCTCAAATTTTGTGAAACACACAAAAAGACAACTTTTAAAAAGCACGAATCACAGACAGCCTCTGACCTTCCAGCAAAAGGTGAGCTGACACTCGGGGAGACCATCAAATCATGGTCTCCTTACGGCAGAATTCACAAAGCACAAAATGTGGACACAGTTCATTTTTAGAGAATGAAACATTGTATACAAGGCATAACTCCTTATTATATTTGTCTCTTATGAGTAAAAATATCTTTGAGACAGTTTTCTCTGTTGAGTTTGCTATTTGGTTGCTCCTAGCCTACAGTGTACAGAGAGGCCACCGTAAAGCTCCATGGCGTAATTTCCAGGTTTCCTTTCAGACGCTTATGGGCCTTTTCATGTTAAGTTTCCAGGAATCATGTCTGATAATGCCTTTATAAACGTGTCACGGTTTTAAAAGCCATTCCCTGTTTATTACTAATAATGCCACAAACATCCCTGAACTAGGCTCACGACACCCCCTCCCCTTTGGGAATTGAACCGAGAACCTTGTGCCTGGTAAGCAAGCGCTCTACCATGGAGCTACAGCCTCTTCTTCAGTCCTGTTCGTGTGATTCTTCTGTACAGAATCCTAAAATGAGAGCACTAGCCCAAAACCAAACATTTAGTCTCTTATAAGTAATGTCAATCGATGCGTCCCCCCCCCCACAATGTTACACCAAAATTTTTTCTTGTAGGAAGTATATCATCAGTTGATTTCTGAACAGATTAGGAGTTATCAATGAAACTGCATTATAAAGAAAACAAACAAACAAAAAAAAGACAAGAAACAAACCAAGACCTTAACTAATTCAACACATGAAAAAGAACCTTGCTGTTGCTTTACTTTGCCTGCTTTTAAAGGTAGGTTGTACAACCTGTCATGTTTAGTAACTAGTGAGTCCCATTCCTCTTCTCTATTCAAATTCACCCAAACCAGAAATGTCTCTCTGTCTCTTGTCGAAGACACAGATGTAGAACTCAGTGGAGGCTCTCATAATGACTACTTGTCATCTCGGAGTGAAGCCATCAATGTCAACTAAAAGCAACAAAGCAGCGTGGCTCAGTTTCTTTATCCAGGCTAAGCGCATCATTCCGACTAATTTTAGAAACTGTAGCCAAAGTTATCCTTTTTCTTCCTCCTCAGCAGAACACAAAAGTACTGAGCTGGGAGAATGAAATGTGAAAATCCTAAATGGCAAAGCTGCTCAGAATAGAATAGATCGTGCACTTCAGGCAGGATAAAATGGGGACAGAGACCGTCCCAGCAATTCTGACAGGCCAGCTGCAGAGGCCGGCAGCTCTGCTCTCCAGCTCACCATGCTAATGAGTTACCTAACTAGCTTCACGCATACCCCTCCGGGCAGAGGCAGCACACATGTATGTCCTTTACTTGAAAACTCCGCCCTGCGACAGCCTAAGCATGGACTCTGGCAGCTGGAGAGGCCAGGCGGCTGAGACTCTTCCCACCTGCCTTCTAAACGCCCCGTTCAGAAATTCCTTCTAAGGGATGTAGAAGAAAATCCTCATCCGCCCAAATGACTCATGACTAAGGTAGAGAAAGGGAAGGCCCCAAGGCTGTCCTGCCGAGGGGAGGAGTCCGGATGCTCTTGCTCTCTTCAGGTCAGTGGGGATGGCAGAGACTGACAGGACACTCCTGCGTAGTAGAGCAAAGGGCAGCCACCAGTCCGGGAATCTAAACACAGCCTTTCATACGTTTGAACCTATCTTGTCGTGACGGGTGCAAAAGAAAACTGTAAGACGGAAGAGGGAGGGAAAATCAAGAACCTTTCTTTTGCCTTTTTTGTAATGGTGGGGGTTGAACTCACGGCTTTGACCAGGCTAGGCAAGTGTTCTACCACTGAGATACATTCCCAGCCCAGAGCTCCATGGATCTAAAACACGATCCTGTGACATCACTATGCACACTGCATTTCTGAAATGGCAGGAACTCCAGCGCTATACTCTATCTTGTGCAATCTACATTTTAGGCTCTGATTATGTAAAATCAGGCTCTCACACAACTCTGATTGGAAAAGTTCCAAAGCAAAGGCTTAAAAAGGGACACTTCAGCTGGGCAGGGTGATGCAGCCTTTAATCCCAGCACTCAGGAAGCAGAGGCAGGCAAATCTCTGAGACTGAGGCCAGCCTGGTCTACATTCCATTGCCTAACCTGCCTCGAGGACACCATCTCTGTGAGCTGCACTGCCCTCGCTGACTAAGTTCCTGGCTCTCTTTCTCTCACACACTGCTTTATGGTACACGTTAAACTAATGTCTCAAGTCCCTTGAGGACTAATGCACTCTCTGGTTTATCTGGATCCCAGGAATCCATCCCAGAGTATTTTCCATGGCTAGATGAAAGGGTGCCGATAGAACCTGCAAGAAGATGTGGAATGTGGCTGTGACTTCCTTCTGGTCAGTTGAGATTCCGAGACCTGACAAAATGGGGAGTTAAAGGGGCTTTTTTCCTGGAATGTTCCCATTCAGCCCTTGGCTACTCTTCTTAAAATGTTGTGATGGGGTTGGAGTGAAGTTTCAGTGGTTACAAGCACCAATGGCTTTTCCAGAGGACCTGGGTTCAATTCCCAGCACACACCAAGATTCCGAACTGTAGTTCCAGTTCCAAGGAGGTCCGATGCCCCCTTTTGGCCTCTGCTCACATGTGGTGCACAGACAAAAATGCAGACAAAACACTCAGACACACAAAATGATAAAATGCAAAGAAATAGAGAAGAATGGTCTGAAGTGGCACTGAAGTCAGTCTACCCCAGTGATAAGCGCTTAGGCAACCTCGTGGGGCCCCATGTCTGGTCTGACTGCCTGAGAGTATGTAGAGTGTCATTTCTGTGACTGCATCACACCAGACCACAATGGATTTCATTACCCAGTTAGGGGCCCAGAGATTGTAGACGGCTTGGCTCTCAGAAGGATACGTGAGCAGAGGCAGGCCACACATACAGTATGTCAGGGGAGAAAGGAGGGGGTAGGCCTTGACAGAGCCGGGGGCATTTGCATCACCCACAGCAGGCGCAGTCAACAGAGGCAGAGTCGACCCTCCAGGAAGCATACTGGCCAAGTACCCACTAAATGTGACAGCTCACAAGTCTGAGAGCAGAGCTGCTCTCAAACTCAGCGTGACCGGTACGTTTTACTGACTGCATGTCATTCTGAATCAACGATGGGCTACTGGATGAGTGTCACGGCATTCCTAAACGACCTTAACATCTTACAAATTAGGACTTCATAATTATTCTTTTGCATGAGTTGGCCTTATGATACAAGAAGGAAAACACTGAGATGAAATGAGAGCAAGTTATTATCCAAGTCAGAATATTGTCTGTCACGCTAAGCTGTGCTTAATTCTTAGCCTGCCTTCTTCCTCCAAGACCATACATTCTGGGGGGCCAGGAACTCTGCTTGTTATCTCAGGGCCTGCCAAACACTATTTGCTCCTAAACATTGTAATTTCACAACTCTGCGAGCTAAGACAAAGCTGGCAATGCTGCATGTCCTCAGGATAATTTTAGTCTCTTACAGCAAATCACTTCCTGCGTGATTACTGTGAGGAAGGCTGTGTCTGCTACAATATACTCTTGAAACAATACCAATCATCAGATGTCATAAGTTGCAATAAGCCTCGCATTGAGTTTAAGGTAATAAGGCAAAGGTTCAATGTTCACCTATGGATAAATGACTACAAAACATAAAAGTCACACACTTCTTTTTGGTTTTGAGACAGGGTCTCATATAATCTACAATGGCCTCAACCTCAATACATAGCCAAGGCTGACCTTGGACACCTGATCTCCCTGCCTCCACCTCTGAGGATTAGGATTAAAGGTGTATATCATCTTACCTGATGCTGAGGTGGTGGTGCTAAGGACTCAGGGTGTCATGGATGCTGTCGACTGGGCTATTATTTCCAGCCCACAAGATACTTATAATGAGCACCAATATCCGACTTCCCCAAATCAGTAGTTATACCACACTTCATGCTTCTTACCTTTAGGAATCTGATATTGCACTGCTGTTAAAGTACATCACAGATGCCTGATCATGTGCTTAATTGCCTCAGCCTTTGAGCTGTTAGAACTAAGAGTTCGGGGTGCAGGACAAGGTCTAACATACAACAGTCCCAACAATTACCTGCTGAGTGGAGAAGGCTGCCAGGGTTAGCAAGGTAACCATTTAGTGTGTACTTGGTCAAGAATGACGCCTTGACTCCACAGGTAATAAAGCTGAATAAGTTAGTCACTTTTCTATTCCTATGATAAAAAACCACGACAGAGGCAACTTAAGGAAGAATGAGTTTATTTGGGCTTACGGTTCTAGACAGTACAGTTGAGAGTCCACCGCAGCAGGGAAGCACAGGAACATCAGATAAGGCAGAGTCAGACGCCGAAAGCTCACATGCTTCACGGCAAGCAGGAAGCAAAGGCCTTAAGCTCTGAAAGCCAAACCCAGTGACAAACTTTCTCTAGCAAGGCTGCACCTCCTAAACTTCCCCTGACAGCACCACCTACTGGGGGCCAAGGGGTCCAAATGCTTGAGACCAGAGAGGACATTTCTCATTCAAACAACCAGAGTAAAGATCAGAGAAACTCAGAAACTTGTTCAGTCAAGTTCAAAAGCAAGCCCGGAATTCACATTGGCTCTGAGGACATCTACTGCACAGCCTCTCCAAAAGCGCTGTATGAGAGTTCCACATGGATGGGACCTCTCTGTCTCACCTCTCTTCTCTCTTCCTCTGAAATCTACAAGCCTTTTTGAGAAAAACAGGAGATCCTTTACTACCCAGATCTCCCTGGTGAGGGGAGATAGAAGAGATTTTGTGAGTGAACTGAGGACAGGTGGGGATGGAAACATGAGCAATCAGGTTGCGGGGGGCATGGAGGGAGAGAGTGCTGAGGAGGACTGCGGGG